GGACTGTCCAAGGCATCTACAAACTGATCCCTCAGCAACAGCTTGAGGACATCGGGTGGTGCAGTTGTGTAGGCCTTGTGTGCCATACTTTTCAAATCCTGTGCCAGCTCTTGTAAGCTCTCCCCTTTAGCATGGACTCTAGTCTTAAACCTAGCCCTGTAGACTTTGGACTGATTTTGAGTTTCATACCTGATTTCTAGAGCAGCTACCAGTGCTCTGTAGTTGTGCCTGTCGTCTGCTGACAGCTGTCCAAATATTTCCAGTGATTGTCCCTTCAGGCTCGTTGCCAGGTACACAGCTTTCTGCTCCTCTGTCCATCCATTCATTTCTTATAGTAGCTCAAATTGAGCTCTATATGCTTCCCATGGTGCCTTCCCATCGAATTCCTGTGGCTTTATTCATACTATACCACCCCTATTGCTGACACTCATGTCTGGAATGTGACTTCTGGCACGACTGAAGATGTCTGCATTAGGGTTTAGCTGCAGAGTCTGGAAAGGGCTTCCTGTTGTCTGGGGCTGATTAGGTCAATGGCTAATATATCCTCCCTGTGTAAAAGACAGTAAATCGTCCTTTAATGTATTTAATTCACTTTGAAATTAACTAATCTTTTCCATTTGTGTATGCTGGCTTTCTCTCAACTGTTTCTTCCTGTTTCTTTTCTTGTTCCAGTTGCCACTGGTACTGGTTTTCTTGCCACTGCTGTAGTTTCTCTTCCTGTTTATTTTCTTTTTTCCTCTAACTCCTGCTGTAGTCTCTCTTCTTGTTTATTTTCTTTCTCCTCCAACCACTGCTGTAATCTCTTTTCTTTTTTCTTTTCTCGTTCTTCTTGTTTCTTTTGCTGTTCATTTATTGCTGTCATCAAATCTGCTAACCTATAGTTTGATTTGTCACTTCTCATTTCCATCTTCTTCTTTTTTTTCATCCCACTCTCTGATACCAATTTGTTACGTATCTGCTTGTTTGTTAATTTCCAGTAGAAATTCTTTCCAAGGAACTTCAGCAATACAAGTCCTTTCTTGGTTAAACCAGTTTATTCTTCCTCGATACAAACTTTTAGCACACAGTAATTTCACAATC